TATTTATCTAGAGAAGCCAGCCTAACACTATCTATGATCTGGGAGCTCTGTGTTGCTGTTGAATAAGCATTGAGCTGCTAACTGTAAGTTTGGGCATTCAAACCCATGTTCACTCCAAGGGAGAAAAGGCTATCAGCTCTCATAAAGATGTACAGCCCTGGAAGCCTTACACTGTGTTGCTACAAGTCAAAATCAACTCCATGGGAGTAGGTTTGGGTTTGGAGGGAGATATATGTTCTATGTTTCCCTTTTTGAGATTCATTACATGTCCATCATTCTTCAGTGCTCCAGAATTGGGGTCCTATTAGATTATCATTCAGGTTCCGCCAAAATAGAAATTAATCTTTCTATTATATAAGATAGAGAAAATCTGATAGCAAATCCCAAATTAAATATAATACCACAGTGGCAATACCTAAGAAAAGATGGAGGCAGGGGAAACACTAGAAGGTTTTAAGAGTTAAAGGAAAGAGGGGCAAATCCTGTTTTATACATGGCCCTATAATAGTGGGATCTCCAAGTAAATGCTTGTATAGATAGGCTGGACATATGTGAGGGAAAGAGTGAGAACAAATTTATGAAAACTCCTTAGCCATGACCAGATACCCAGAGGGACTGGAGCTCTGTGCCTGACAACAAGACAGTCTTGGGACACCAAGGTCAACTGGCATAAGTAGTTCATAAAGAGAATGTTCTATTGGTCTTTGATGAATATCAACTAGAATCTCAAAATCTTATTAGCAATCATTATAAATTCAACTATTGGTCTTTTTCCCAGCCAGGGGGGAAAACGGTGATAATAATCTAAAGCTGTATGGAAACAATTTGTCCAGTGGACTACTGGACCAAGCAAACATCAGTCTCCACAATCCTGACCCCTGAAGAACGAGTTGGTGACCAGCTACCACTGTTCACTGCTCTGAAAAGGATATTAGAAGGTTCTGGATAAGGTGTGGGAAGATGTGGAACAAAACAAAATTAAGAAAGAGATCAGAATTAGGAAAGAAGGCAGAATGGAAACAGGAAAAGGGAGAAAGCGGGACAAGCGATGGCACATTGGAGGGATTGTAATAGATGAGTTTTAAAAATTGCGTATGAATTCTTGAATGCAAAAAGGTCTCCTCTGTAAACCTTCCCCTACTTCACAATAAAAAGGTTTTAACAAACCAATATGTAAGTTCTACCTACTGTCAAAGACGAAGACTGTACCACGGCTATTGTCACAATGTCTCTACAGTACAGGGTAGAGCTGCCCCAGTGAGTTTCCCACTGTAACTGTGTCCTGGAGTAGAAAGGCCTGTCTTTCTCCCATGGAGCAGCTGGGGGTTTTAAACTTTGGACCTTGCAGATTTCAAACCAACTCGTAACTACTAAATCAACAGGGCTCCTATAAGAACACATACTTTAAATAAAAAAAAAAAAGGAACGTGTATTTTGTTACAAGTATACTTTATTTATTTGAGGGATAAAACATTTTGAAAATTGGGCATCAACCCTGTAGAGAACAAAAAGACTCCTAAGTATGGAGGGGGAAATATTCTTTTATAGTACAAATGAGGAAAGAGAGGGTGTGGTGTCCCATAGTTAAAACCACAAGGTGTGTATGACATCAGCAATTCTATTTTTAATTACCTTTTTCCTGGAACATCTTGAGTAAACTCCATAGAAGAATGATCACATTCCTGACCAGCACACACACACACACACACACACACACACACACACACCCTTATGTACGAAGAGTGATTTGGAACAAAAGTCAGGTCCGTTATATAAGATAATTGATAGGAGCCATGGTCTCCCAGTTCTACCCAATCAAGCCAACAAGGCAATATACATACAAATAGGAAACTGTGAGGAAACAGACCTACAAGAAACCTCAAGAATTAATGAATAAAAAAAAAAAAGAATTAATGAATAGAGCCAAGCCACTCTATAAAGCCATCAGTACATTCTGTGAGCCTTATGACCTCCACCTGAGAGTCTGAAGAGTAAACAACCTTTTGTTAACTTGTTTTCCTTAAAGTTGATGAAATAGAAAATTAAAACAAAAGAACCTTTCAAGACTCTTACGGGTTAGACCACTCTGAGCCTCCTGCAATGGGAAGCTGTGCTCACACTTCTATACCATTCTTAGCATCCCCACTCCTACCCACCCCATCTCTGTTGTTCTAAACGTTAATGATACTCATATTGATTTTAACCAATCCAGAGAATGACATAGAAAGATAGGACATTGGGAACAAACGGGTCATCACTGGATTTCCAGTCAGAGCTTGTCTTCACAATGGTCTCACTAGAACGGTTTGTTCTATTTGTTAAACTGATTCAATGGCATTCTGAAGTCACAGCTATGCTATCCTGCCAGGACAGAAGTCAAGGTTGTTAAACTGATTCAATGGCATTCTGAAGTCACAGCTATGCTATCCTGCCAGGACAGAAGTCAAGGTCACATGTTGGGGGAGGGCAAATGCTCAGGCATTCCCCCCCTGAAGGCAATCAGTTGCCAGACTGCTGTCTCATCCCACCACAGGGGTGGGCCTGCTCCCT